TGGAGTGAGATTAACCAGCTTTCGGGTTTTCAAACCTCAGTTGCTCTAGGCAGGGATTCCAGCTCTTATTATATCAGAAAAGAAGGAATTAGAATTCAGGCGCTCCCTGGCTCTTGTCTCATGGGTGTAGGGAGCCAAGATCATTCTAGTGGGGTCTGCTCTACCCCTCCCTGGTCCGTCCACCACCTGGTGGGCACTTGCTCCGACTCTTTCTCCTTCCTGGACAGCAGCTGCCCCGCTGTGCTAATGGTTTCTCAACACTGGAGAGCAGTCATCTTCCCTGCCCCCATCCTACCTCCTGACCCTCCCTGAAGAGAGAGAGACCTGGTGTCTCAGGCTACTTCAGGGGCGTGGGGCTGGGGTCACAAGAGCTGTCCAGGACCTCTCCCCAAATGAGCTGAGGCTGTTGGTGGAGATTAGAGTCGGAGGAAAGCCTGCTGGGCAACTCTCATCCCAGTTTTCTCTCCACTTTCCTAACTTCCTATTCCCAACCTGCCTAGATGGCATTATCAGGGGCCAGATGGGATTGTTCAGAGGGAGGGGCAGGCAGGTGGGAGGGACTAATGCTGCTCCAGGAGGGCATCAAAGGAAAAACAAATATTTGCTCTGGATCTTCTGGTCTCCCGAGTACATGCCTGGCATCCAAATGACATTTCCTCCTGTGGCTCTCACCAGCTTCTCTGAGCTCCTCTTTCCCCGAAGAGAAGAAACAAGCTGGGGCCCCTGGAATGGTGGAGTCCCCCAAGCCTTTGGGATGATCTGCATGGAATTCTCACCTTCCAAATGGGTAGCATGAGGGAGGCTAGGTGGGCAGTGCTCTGGGGTAGGGGTGCTTTTTCTCTTATATACCGGATTGCTGCATGGATTTCAAAATGTTTGAAAATGACTGAGATGGTCCAATCCTCTCATTGACTGATGGGGAAACTGAGACCCAGAGAGGAGATGTGACTTCTCCAGTCAGTGGCATGCCTGCAACTTGCCTAGAACATAGGCCCCTGCCTTGGCCAACCCTAGGGCCTGGATGACCAAGTGCTAAGAGACTTGGACTGGGAGTTGGCCTTGAGATGAGCTGGGGCATGCCTCCTCGGTGTGCTTTGTCGTTCCAACACTCAAGCTGCCTTTCCCTGTGCTCAAGGCAGTGCTTAAGGTGCGAGGACTCACTGGGAACCAAGCCCCACTGCCACTCACTGAGTATGTGGAGGGATCTTGTGGGGGTGAACTACACTATTTTCCTGGTTTTCATCCGTCTGGAAGGCTGCTTAGCTCAGGGTCAGAGTGCAAGGGTTCCAATCCTATTATTGTATGACTTCCTTGTATCTCAGTTTCCTCATCTGTAAAATGGGCATAACAATCATTCCTACTTTATGGGGTTCTTGTAGGAATATCTAAGATAATATATGCAAAGTGCTTCGCACAGTGTCTGGCACACACGGTGTTATTATCCCAGCAAAGCTGGCTCTGATCAGGTCCTCGCCTTCCTCTCCTGGGAAGACTCCCCATCCTGGGTCTGTCCTGCCTGAGCAAGAGAATGAATTGTGCTCAGCTTCCTTAGGCCAAACCACTTTGATTTCTGCTTTGTTCAAAGTCCTTATCTCCCCTTCAGCCACAGTTCCAGAGAAGGCCATGGTCAGTGGCTCCAGGCTTCCTCCTCATGACACTGCCCTCCCAGCGCCTCTTGCACCTGCCTGCTCAGCAGCAGAGAGAGACAGGCTCTGGCTGCAGGCGACTCTTGTCCTTGGGCTCCAGCCAAACCACACAAGAGGGCTGGGCAGGGAAGCTCCTTGCCCGGCAACCTGGCAGAGTGGGCTGGGGGGTGGCAAGGAGGGGGCGGGCATGGTAGGGGTTTCAGGGAGGCAGCTCAGGCTCCTCTCAGAGCCCGCTTCTGCTCCCTGCCTGGCTCTCGGGAGGTTTGGTGGGACAGCTGAGCTACCCCCAGGACCATCCCCACTCTGCCCAGCCCAGCCCAAGCCAACTTCTGCCCCGTTATCTAAGTGGGTCATCCCCCAGCTCCTCACCCTGCCTTCCAGATGGCCACTGCCCTGTGAAAAGCCAGAGAAGAGTCCAGATGTTGGCTGCAACTCCAGGCAACAGAATTGACCAGAGATGTCCAGCTTGCCTCTCGCCCTGGTACCTGCGATCAGCATCTCTGGACCTTCTTTTCCTAAGGCCTTTCTACCATCCTGTCTGGATCCAGATCATTCCTGATCTGAGTTCCTGGGAAGGAGGCAGTGTTTACCAACTGAGCCCCAGCACCCACCTCTCCTGGAGTGTTGGCAAAGCAGCGGTGTGTTTGTATATCTGTAAGTGGGAGGGGGTAGCTGGTGGTGCTGCCCAGCCTGGCCCAAGGCAAGGTGTGGGGCATTTCCTTCTCCAGGGGTGGAAGGAAGGGAGCTGGAGGCAGGGCAGGGCATCTCCAAGGAACTTTTGTCTTCTGAGGCAGCAGCTTCTCAGGCAGCACCTCTGCACCTTGGATCCTGACCTTGCCTCTGATGTGTTGTAGGATTTGTAAGAGTCCATGTACCTTTCTGGACTCCAGTGTTTCCCTTTTGCAAAATGGGATAGGGAATTAGCCCTGCTGTCTTTCCGATGTGCAGAGCCAAGGGGCAAGAAAATCACTGGCATGGTATTGGCAGGAATTTTGCTCAGGCAGGTGAGCATGGCCGCAGTGTAGAGCCTCTGAACAAGCCTCTTATCACAGTCCTTGGTGAAGTACCCTCCTGGCGTCGTAGTGCGTGGCCCAATTCTGGAGAAGCTCAGCATAGAATGCTAGAGTTTGGAAAGGAGCTTCGAGATGCATACAATCGTGAATGACTGCTTTCTTTCTGGCCTTTGCTCAGAACTTTCTCTCTGCCTGGAATGTCCTTGTTGTCCTTCTCCCAAGGGTGGTTTTTCCTGCCCTCCCAGCTGACGAAAGCTCTTTCCAGTGCTCCAGGAGCCCCTCAAGGAGCAGGGACCCATCACTGTCACCCTCATCACACTAGACCAGAGTTCATTTAACTTCCCAGTTCTCTTACAGAATTGAGGACCCTAGGGTAGGGACTGTCCAATATTTGTCTAAATTCCCAGCACCTAACACAGCGCCAGGCACCTAGTAGGCATTCAGCATCTGTTTAGAGAATCAAGGACCTTTCATTTTTCAGGTGAGGAAATTAAAACTAGCCAGACCAGTTAACCAGATAATTTAAGTGACTTGTCCTAAATTGCATAGCTCATAGTTTATTAGCCTCATCAGAGCAAATAAGGATTAGAAGCTCGTACTCTTGATATCTATTCCGCTGAGCAGGTATTCATCATTGTGGCTGAGTTTCCGTCTCCCTCTGAGCAGGGTGGCCATAGGATGTAACGTCTAAACCTTGATACTTTGCACAGTAAAAGGGGTACTGTTAATAATTATGCCAGGACAAACCAGGACTGTGTCGAGGCATGTAGCCTTCCTACCTCTGGGCAATCCATCCAGCAATTTCTACCTTCTTCCTTGGCTCAGGTCAATTTATTTTTATTCTAGAGAAAGGTTGCCCAACTATCTTGCAGGTAAGAACAAAGGTCACTCAAAATCGGTCATCGTACCTGAGGTTGAATCTCCACCCATGCCTGGGAAGAAGGGGAAAGCATTTTATCTGGGCACTGGTCCCATCAGCCAGGGGTCAGCCCAGTGATTTAACTAATAAATATTTATTTGTGATTTATGTTTACCAGCAAATGATTGGTGAATGCTTTCTGTATGCTGAGCTTTGTGTAGGCCTGAGCTGGTGCAGGCCTGAGCTGGCACCTAGTTTACAGGCTGGCCAGCAGATAGCCCTTGGGGCTGGGATGGGCTGGGGAGCAGTGGCCCAGCCCCACCAAGGGAGTGACACACTGTTCTTCTTGTCTGTCACCTGCTTGGGGAATGTTGGAGTCCTGATGATATAACTTGTTTCCATCCTGGGAGGTGTTAGCCAAGCTGTGGGGTCCTGGGACCTAATGTGGATAAGTAGGGGGTCCTTGAGTTGGCTTCCTGAGGCTAGAGTAGGAGTTTGCAGGAGGATGGAGCTGTACACTGAGGAGGAACAATTCTGATTGAGAATCACAGGCTCCCAGGGTTGAAAGAAGTGGACCTCAGCGTTCGACTTGTGCACATCTGTGCATGTGGGGACCCCTAGCCACCCTGACCGAAAAAAACAAACCAACCAACCCATAGCCGTAAAGTCGATTCCAACTCATAGCAGCCCTGTAGGACAGAGTAGAACTGCCCCATAGGGTTTCCAAGGAGCGACTTGTGGATTCAAACCACGGACCTTTTGGTTAGCAGCCACCAGGGCTCCCAAAGACCACCCCTAAGACCCCCTTAATTTTCTAATAATTTCATTTCTTTTAGGTCTTGTCTTTAGAGCCCTGCCCCCAGTGATGATTTTTCTAACTATTGTACATTTGTGTATACACAGTTGTACATCTGAGATGTGCCTAGTTTTTGCATATGAGTGCATCCTACACTTTCAATATTTTTGATCTATTTTAATTGTTCAGATATGTGACTCGCACTTACATATAATTTTACTCTTTTAATACGATTTTTATGGCCCTTTGTCTCTGAAGCGCTCATTGCACTTTATCCATTGCTGTGTGATTTTAAGAACAGAGAATTTTAGGAAGAAAAGAGCTAGTCCTTAAAATCTCCCCTTCAGGAAGAGGGGGGTGTGTATGAGCGTGGTGGGGGCCAGCTGTGGAGAGAGAGCTATGTGGGGACAATGCTCCAGGTTGAATCCAGAAGAGAGAGGTGCCTCACGTTGCATGAGGACTCAAGCCCCCTACCCCCTACCCCACCCCAAGCCTACGGAATTTTCTGCTTAGCTCACTAGGAGAGATGGATGGGCTAAAGCAGAAGGGGTGGGGTGGGGTGTGAAAGAAAGGGGGTGTGCAGCCCTGTCCCCGCAGCTGCAGTGAGGGCCTCTCCTGCATCTTGGGGAGGAGGCACCATGGTGACCGTCCCTCCTGCCTGCCATTGTCCTCCCTGCCCTGCACAGGGAGGGCCCAGGAGCTGGGCCTCCCCTCTTTCACAGATGCAGCTCCACTCCAGGGGAGGGGCGGGGTGGAGGGCACGCCATCGCTGGCCCGTTGCCGGGGTGACCGGGCCACGGGCATTGTGAGCAGCTCCTCTTATGGGATTACGGCTGTTCCGCATTCTTGTCTGATGGGCGAACACAGGCCTCCAGGGCCCACTGTCCCCTTAAGCCGGAAGCCATTGTCTGCCTCCAGAGCCCTGTGAAAGGGTGGATTAGAGGGCCCTCCCCTCCAGCAGTGGTTTCCTTTTTTCTGTCTCCCTTTGAATCTTGAGGGGAGGCAAACCCTCCTGGGAAATAGAATGAGGAGCTGTTTACCTCAGTCTGTGTTTTCTGATTTCTCATAACTTGCCAGTCTCCCATGAAGAGGAAGTCTTGTGTTTACCATCCCTGTCCTTGGACAGGACTTGCCAGGAACTGACTGGACCTGTGACAGCCCCCCCAGTTCCCCATCCTAGCACCTGCTGCCAACATTGCAGGCTCTGAGGCCTCGTGGCATTTGTATGGCTCATAAGAAACCACCTCAGATATCTTGGTCCAACCTCTTCATTTCACAGAAAAGAAAAACAGGCTCCGAGAGGGGGTGGGACCTGCTCACACAGACAGTGGGTTGGGGGGGGGTCCAACAAGAGCCCAGGTCTCCTGACTCCCCACACGGGCTCCTGGCCCTGCTTGCTGTTGCTTAATGTCCTCTTTCAGTGCCTTCCCCTCACCCTCCCAACCCCCACATTGCTGGTCCACTGTCTGGTAGCTGCCCCCTGAGTGGGATGGAGCAGAGAAAGAGACTGTGACTCCTCCGTCAAAGAGAGTTGCTTGAACTGCGTTTTGGCAGTTCTTCTCCATTTCCTCTTGCTTCACCCCACCCTTCCTGAGCCCACGACACATACCAGCTAGAAGGTTTAGACACATACCAGCTAGAAGGTTTAATCCTTATATGGTGTTTTTCACCTTTACAGATGAAGGTTACAAGGCCCATAGGATTCTGTTTAACTATCTAGTTGTTTGTTTTGGGGGAAGGGACATTCCTTACCTAGACTGAAGAGACTGGTTATTTATAGCAAGGTAAGGTATTGTGGAGGGAAAAGTTCCAGACCTGGAATCAGATGACAAATAGTTTAACTTCTGATTCTGCCTGTTAGTGACAGTATGACCTTGAGCAGGTCGTTTAACCTCTCTGGGTCCCAGTTTAAAAAGGAGCCTTGGTGGTACAGTGGTTAAGTGCTCGGCTGCTAACTCAAAGGTCAGTGGTTCGAACTCACCAGCTACTCTGTGGGAGAAAGATGTGACAATCTGCTTCTGTAAAGATTGTAGCCTTGGAAACCCTACGAGGCAGTTCTACTCTGTCCTGTAGGGTCACTATGAGATGAAATTGACTCAACGGCAATGTGTCAGGTCCCAGTTTCCTCACCTGTAAATGGGGATGCTGGTACTTTCTGTGCCTACCGCCCCGGGCTACTGCGAGAGCCATTCATTTACTAATTCAGCCCATGGTTCTTCAGTGCCTACTGTGTGCCAGGCACTGTGCTCAGCATCAGGGGTCCAGTGGTAGGCAAAAGAGGCCCACCTCATCTCATGGTATAGTAGAAATACAAGGCCTGGTCAGTCACACGGCATCAGCCTTATGGATGCAAGTTATTACCACCGTTCACCTGTGGACTCTGCATAAGGAGGTCATTGGTCCATCTGCCTTCCTGTTGCATGGACTGCACCAGACCTGATGAGAACCTTCTCTAGAGAAGATGCTCTCCAGCCTCTCTGCCACCTACCCCAGTGAAGGATGCAGTGTGGCTTCTCTAGGCACACCCTGGGGCCTTTGTAGCAGCTGTAGACGGACCACCAGAGTCCAGGCCCCCAGAGTGTCCTCAGGGATGCCTTTACTTGCCAGGCTTCTCTCTTCACTCTCCCGGCTTTTCTGTTCCCAGGTGGCCATCAAGTCAATCCGGAAAGACAGAATCAAAGATGAGCAAGACCTGATGCACATACGGCGAGAGATTGAGATCATGTCCTCACTCAACCACCCCCACATCATTGCCATCCATGAAGGTACAGAGGCAGGCATTTGTGGAGCTGGGAGGTGGGAGTCTTTGTGTCTATGGGGGTAGGGGACCAGTCAGAACAGATGACACAAAGAAATAAACAAGAAATAGGCTTAATTAATTCCATCTCTGGGCCTCAGTTCCTCATTTATAAAATGGAATGTCCTGCCTACGTCACAGGGTGGCTGCAAAGGTCAAATTAGATAATGTCACCAAGTGCTCAGCTCATGAGAGGCGCTCACGAATTTCAGACTTTTTTGTTGTTATTGTTAGGTTTTCCCTACTTGAACACACCTTCTCAACCCAGTTAGATCGTCGGCAGTCCCGGGGGAGGCTTAAACATACATAGACATACACCTGTCTCAGGTGTGTGGGTGCTATTCTTCTTCATGCATCCCAAGAGCCAGGCCTCCTCAAGTCTGACCTGTACTCTGAATCATTCCTGCCCAGGGCTGGCTCCCACCTCCCCTCCTCATCTTGCTCAGCCTCCACTTGCTCTGACATCAGTGTTGGCTTTGCCCCTGCAGTTGCCCTCTTCCCTGTGACCCAGACAACAAAGCGACCCAGAGAGGGGGAAGAGGGGAAGAAGGCGAGCACCCTCCTACTTACACCTGTCTGCTAGGAGACTTTACATAATGTCAGCTGGATGGGAAACAAGGGGTCATAGCTGCAGGAGGATGGAAGGGAGCCTGCAGCTTTGCCCTCTCTCTGAATATTCCTGGTGGAAGAAATACGGAAGTCTCACCTCTCAGGTTCTTCTCATAGGAAGACTAAGGGCAGAGCCACTAACATGGCCCTGTGGCCTGAGCCTGTCCCACGTGGAGCCCAGGCGAGTGGCTGAGAAGGCTAATTGTATCTGTGGATATCCCCCAGGGAGGAGTGGGCAGATGCAGAGTATTGATTAAACCGGGCTGAGCATGGTGATCGGGCAGTGTGTGTGTGTGTGTGTGTGTGTGTGTGTGTGTGTGTGTGTGTGTGTGTGAATTCTCCCCACACCCATATCTTCAGCTGGGTCTGGGAACTGACTTTGAATCTCAGGATGTGACTTCTCTTGAACAGTTACTGTGTGTCTGGCAGGGCACCCCATCCTGCTGTAGGCTTCAGAGGGTGTGAATTAAGCGGTGGCCCCATCCCAGCAGCTGACCTCTCACCCAGCTACTCTCCAGAATGTACCCTAGCTGGCTCTTGATCCCCAGTTTCATGGACAGAGGTTACATTCACCCCTGCAGGGATACCGAAAACCGCAGGGTGGAGTCAGCCAGGTACCGCCCCGCAGGCTAGGCCACCAGGACCAGGGCCACTCGCCCAGGATCCCTGGAGGAAAGCACAGTCCTGGCCATGTATCCAAGTGCCTGGGTGGGGTCTGGGACTCCTCTCGGGAGAGGCCTCCTGCTGCAGCTCCTTCTCCCAGGTTAGACAGCTCTAGCTGTGGGTCTGGCCAGGCAGGCCAAACTCCTGGGACCCGTTTGACACTGTTGCAGTGTCATGGACATACATGTGCTGACACACACCCAGCTGAAGGGACAGTTTGGCAAACCAGCCCCTCCCCACCCTGCCAGGGGGCTGGAGCCAGGGCAAGGTCTGAGGCAGCAAGAAGGCCCCTCCTGCACCTAGAGACCAGCCAGCTAGGGCGGGCTCAAAGCCAGGAACCAAGCAGTCAATTAATTAAAACCAAAAACAAACCCATTTCCATAGAGTTGATTCCAACTCATAGCAACCCTACAGGACAGAGTAGAACTGCCCTATAGGGTTTCCAAGGCTGAAATCTTTACAGAAGCAGACTGCCACATCTTTCTCCCACGGAGAGGCTGGTGGGTTGGAACCACTGACCTTTTTATAGCAGCCAAGCACTTAATCACTGCGTCACCAGGGCTCCTGGATCAATTAATTACCATATATTTGTTGACTGCTTTGCGTACAGGTCCTTCCTGGATACTCTGGAGGGGAAGTCAGTGATGATGAGGGTGGTTAGTATCTCAGCTTTCCACGGCACTCTGTAGTTTACAAACCACTTTTGTATATTTCATCTTCTTCTGAGCCTCCAGGCGGGCATTATTATTGGTATTGTTTTTCAGATTTATACGTGACAACACTGATAATAAATATAACAGTTGTAGTTCTTGCTGTGTGCTATCAAGTCGATTCCAATTCATAGTAACCTGTAGGACAGAGTAGAACTGCCCCATAGGGTTTTCTAGGCCATAATCCCTGAAGGCACAGTGGTTAAACACTCGGCTGCTAACTGAAAGATCAATGGTTGGAACCTACCGGTCACTCCTCAGGAGACTGATGTAGCAGTCTGCTTCTGTAAAGATTTACAGTCTTGGACACTCAAATTGACTCAATGGCGATAGAAATCTTTATGGGAGCAGATTACCAGGTCTTTTCACCCACGGAGCCGCTGATGAGTTTGAATTGCCAACCTTTTTGCTGCACCACCAGGGTTCCTAAAATATCACAGTGGGTACCATTTATTGAGTGTTTATGTGCCGAACTCTATAACAGCTGGCTCAGCCTGCCCCAGAGCTATCCCAGCCCCGGGAGGTTGCCGTTATTATCCCACTTTTCAAATGAAGGAACTGAGGCACAGTGGCTGAATAACCAGCCCAAGGTCACCTGCTAGTAAGTGATGGGGCCGGAATTCAAACTCCAAATCCACATCCTCACTGCTATCTCTAGAAGAGATTTGCCCGAGGTCACAAGACGAGAAGGTACTACATTCCGAACCAGAAATCCTGACCTTTGATTCTCATCCAGTGATGTCACGGCTTTCCTGGGAGTTGCCAGGGTAGCTTTAAGAATATTTGAAAGCCTGGAATTCCAAGGAGGGAGGGGGAGGGGCAGTTGCCTTGGCCTTACCTCATTGCCCTGGAAGATTCTGAGAGCCTGAAAGGCCCTTCTCCTGCCCTTGCTGCCCACCGCCTGCCCCATTAGCAGGTACCCCTGCAAGGAGGTCCTGTATGTTGGGGATCAGGGTGGAGCATGTGACCCAGTTGGGAGCAGTTCACTCTGGGAGGGCCTGACGCCTGTACTGGTTCTGTGCAGTGTTTGAGAACAGCAGCAAAATCGTGATCGTCATGGAATACGCCAGCCAGGGCGACCTGTACGACTACATCAGTGAGCGGCAGCGGCTCAGTGAGCCTGACGCCCGGCACTTTTTCCGGCAGATCGTCTCCGCCGTGTCCTACTGCCACCAAGTAAGCGCCCACCTGCCCAGCCCTGCTCCCATGGGTGGGCCCTGGGGCTCTGGGGCTGGTGTGGACCAGAGAGATTCGGTGACTCGTCCGGGGTCACAAAGGGAGGCGGGAGCAGAGGCAAACTAGATTCTGCCCCCTGAGAAAAGAACACGTTGTTGGTTTTTTGACTTTTACTTTCTTGTTCCGGGGATAGACGGGCCACTGATTCCTTAGGCTGTACACGGATAAAGACAGGTGTTCCTAGCCTTCCTGGGCTCAGACTTACTTGGCTCCCTTTGTGTTTGCCCGATTTTCCAGACTAGGCCCCTTCCCCCTCCCGCCGCCGCCACATGACCTTCCCCTCATTCTCCTCCCTTGCTCTTTCAGAACGGGGTCGTCCACCGAGATCTCAAGCTGGAGAACATCCTGTTAGATGCCAATGGAAACATCAAGGTAAGTTCTACTTCTTGTTTCCAGTAGCTTCCCCATGCCACCTCAGCCTTTCTGCACTGTCCCTAGCCAAGAGTGTCTAAACCTTAGGAGGTTCTAGAAGGAGCTGAGCAAAGCTCAGACTTATACATTAGTACTGGCAGAGACCTCAGCCATCATCCATTCCAACTCCTCATTTTATGAAAACTGAGGCCCAGAGATGAGGGGTGACTTGCGCAAGACCCCATAGCTAGCGAGTAGCTGAGCCAAGGTCTTCTGGCTCCCCTTCGGCCTGAGCTCTTCCCACCTGCATGCGCACACTCGCACGCACGCCCACTTTGATCTGCTGCAGTTAGCTAACCGTTTGGCACCTGTCCCCACAGACCTGGCACCCTGGTGCCTGCTACCTGCTTTCCACAGCTGCTGGATTCCCATGCCTAAGTAGTTAAATTTCTATCAGAAGAAGTTTATACTGAGGGGACAAACTCAGGTCTCAGGGCTGGAAGGAGAGGAAGGCAAGGGCTGGCCAGGGACTCAAGAAGGGAGGCTGTGACTCTGCCCCCTGACCTTCCTCGGAATCTTCCTGAACCTCAGACAGAGTCTCTTCTCCAGTGGCCCCTGACCTGTGCGGTTAGGAGCCCTGGCACTGAGTACATTCCTACCGCCCAGCCAATTCCCAGAACAGGTGAGGTTTTCTTTGATGCTGACCAGGAAAGCCAGAGCCAATAAACCCAGATGACTGGGGCCAGCACAAACTTTCCTGTCTATGCTCGTCATCTGCCTGTTCTTGGTTGCTCATTATGGGCTGCCTTGTTATAACTGCTTGACAAGAGGCCAATAAAACAATAAAAGAAGGCGCCAAAGTTGCATAAACAAGCCCTCCCCACCCTGCACACATAGCCCTCTGAAGAGTGAAGAGGTCAGGAGCGAAAGGGCAGTGGCCTCAGACTCTGTCTGAAGATAGTTGGGGAAAGGGTCTCTCCGGGGACTGAGAGGATAGGCTGAGGGTCTCTCAGGTCCTCAGTATCAGGTGACTCAGAGAGTTCTATCAGGTGATTTCTTCTCCCAGGCTGTAACCACAGCCCTGGTCTTTGTTTTGCCCTCACCATTGCTTCTCAGCTACACCAGGCTGACTTCTGGTTCCTGTCACCAAGTCCTGCCCAGATGTGGGCAGAGAGACGAGCTTTTTGCTCATGGCTAATAAGTAATGGGGCTTGCTTGCTTCTGAAGCCATGAGAAGTTGGCTCTCTCCCTCCATCCAGTACACCCTCCTTTCAGTCAGGTCCATTGAGCCCTATCCATGGGTCACACGTGTGCTAGGAGCTGCAGGAGGGGCAGGGCAGAAGGAGGTCAGCACAGGAAGTATACAATCTGGCTAGGAGGCTGAGCTGACAAGCAGGGCTGCAGTGAGCAACTGGACACCTAGGAGAAGGAGAGCTCAGGGAAATGGGTGGCTTCCCAGGGCGCTGGGCCTGCTGGATCAAAAGGATGCGCATGGGCAGGGGAGAGCATCCCTTGTGTGGGGCACAGCATGAGCCATGGGGCCTGGGTAACAGTCAGGAGCCTGGATTCCCCACATCCCTCTGCCTAGGACTTCCTCATTGACCCAACCTCCTCAGGGCTCTTCCAGGGCCTGAGCTATGTTGGTAGTACCCAGTATGGGGCAGAGGTCATGGGCACTCTTCCTATCTGCTGGGTGCCTGGGTTTTCCCAGGGTCTGGAGAGTGGTGGGCCGGGAGCAGCAGAATGACCCATGCCCATGTTTCACATAATCCTGCAGATTGCTGACTTTGGCCTTTCCAACCAATACCACCAAGACAAGTTCCTGCAGACATTCTGTGGGAGCCCCCTCTATGCCTCGCCGGAGATCGTCAACGGGAAGCCCTACACAGGCCCAGAGGTACGTGTCCACCAGCCTCCTTAGTCATTACCTCTGACTCGAGATCCTATGAAGTAGATGGCTAGTGTTCTAGTTATTCACTTTTCAGAGCAAAAATCTCCCCAGGTCTCTAGCCAGGAGTGGCAAAACTGGAACTAGAGCTTTGGTATCCTGACTCCCCATCCAGTTCTTGGCCTCCTTCACCTTCCTAGTTCCCATTACCTTTCCTGGCACCAAATCTGGCCTCCCTGGAATGATCTGGAGGTGGTATCAGTCACAAACACCCAATCCTGGCCCAGAAGGGATGTCCTGGCTACTGCTCTGTGCTTATGGCTGTCCCTCAACCCGCATGAAAGGCAATGACAGCATCTCTCCCATGAACCCCAGTCCCTTTAATGCAGCCTCACCCCCTTTGCCCTGGGTGCTACAAGGAGGTTGTCTCCAGGCACACTGGCCTCTGAGTTCCCCACCGTGGCTCTTTTCTCCTCCGGTGTTGTGATGAGGCTGGCAGCCCTCCAGCCTGGGGCACATGGGCATCCTTATTGATCTTCTCTGTCTGTCTCAGGTGGACAGCTGGTCCCTGGGTGTTCTCCTCTACATCCTGGTGCATGGCACCATGCCCTTTGACGGGAACGACCATAAGACCCTGGTGAAGCAGATCAGCAATGGAGCCTACCGGGAGCCACCTAAACCCTCCGGTGAGTGGGAGGCATGGGTGTCCTCATCCAGGCCCTGGGTGTCCCTCTCGACAGAGTGGAGATGCTGATTCCTTACGCAGGAATTCAGCAGGGGTTCACAGTCACTAAAGCAAAGAGGACCACAGCCCATCATGACCCACTGTAGATTACAACACCCTCCACTTACCTCCAACCATCATCCTCTGCCTCCAGGGTCTGTGACCTCAGAGAAAGGAGGAGATATCTCTTCCTTTCCTTATGGGCATGCTTGAGTATACTTGGGAATTGCTTCCTAATTGTTTCCTAAAGAAACCCTGGTGGTGCAGTTGTTAAGAGCTCTGGGTGCTAACCAAAAGGTCGGCAGTTGGAATCCACTAGGCACTCCTTGGAAACCCTATGGCGCAGTTCTACTCTGTCCTATAGATTCGCTCTGAGTCGGAATCAACTTGACAGCAATGGGTTTGATTTTTGTTTTTCCCCCAAGTTCTAGCTTAGATCCCCTTTGCTGCAGTTGTCTCATTTCCTATGGCTTTTGTCCTTGTCCTCAGAAATCTTTTTGTCCTTTCATGTACTGTGTAGTCAGCAGAAGGAATAGTGCGAGAGTCTAGGTTTCCCTTGAGCGCAGTCCTGCCCTCAGAGGGTTAAATTTCAGTGGAGGGAGAAAGAACAGACACTCGAATACAAGGGGTAATGAAAAGGCCGTAAGTCCTCCGGGGTCACGTAAGTCCTCAGGGGTCATGGAAAAGAAGAGGAAATTGGAGGAGTCAGTCCAGGAAAACTGGGGACCAGGGAGCCAGCCTGGGATGTGGTGTGTATGGAGACTGTCTTAGTTACCTAGTGCTGCTATAACAAATACTACAAGTGAGGGGTTTTCATTTATTTCCTCACGGCTTAGAAGGCTAGAAGTCCCAATTCAGGGCACCGGCTCTAGTGGAAGGCTCTCTCTGTCTGCCTGGGGGGCGTCCTTGTCTTTTCACCTGCTTGTCCTTGGTTTCTTGGTGATCTTTCCCCATTTGTGCTTCCTTGCTTTTGTGCCTAATCTGTTCTTTTTATCTCAAAAGTGATTAAGTTTAGGACACACCCTACACTGATATGATCATTCACATAACAAAGAAAACCCTGTTTTCAAATGGGATTACATCCACAGGTATAAACCCCAAAAACCAAACCCACTGCCATGAGTTGATTCCAACTCATGGTGGTAGAACCACCAGATAGGGTATTCAAGAAGCAGCTGGGAGATTTGAACTGCTGACCTTTTGGTTAGCGGCCAAACGCTTAACCACTGAGCCACCAGGGCTCCTCCACAGATATAGGGGTTAGGATTTACAACATATTTTGGGGGACACAATTCAATCCATAGCAGAGACCAAGGTGGGAATGGATATGTCTGATGCAGGAGTGAGCAGTGACTTAAGCTCACATGGGAGTGAGCCGATGAGATAGGGACTGTGGGGTGCCCATTCTCAAGGCTGTAACACTGAGGCCACCCCCGCCTTCTGTCTTCCAGATGCCTGCGGCTTGATCCGGTGGCTATTAATGGTGAACCCCACCCGCCGGGCCACCCTGGAGGATGTGGCCAGTCACTGGTGGGTCAACTGGGGCTACACTACCCGTGTTGGGGAGCAGGACACCCTGAAGGAGAGCGGGCACCCCAGCACCGACTCTGCCCGGACCTCCATGGCTGACTGGCTCCGCCGCTCTTCCCGGCCCCTGCTGGAGAACGGGGCCAAAGTGTGCAGCTTCTTCAAGCAGCATGTGCCTGGAGGCGGGGCCACCGCCCCAGGCCTGGAGCGCCAGCATTCACTCAAGAAGTCCCGCAAGGAGAATTACGTGGCCCCATCTCTGCAGGGGGACCCAGCTGATGACACCGCCCCTCGCCCTGGCAAAGGTGTCCTCAAGCTACCTAAGGGCATTCTCAAGAAGAAGGCCCTGAGCTCTGAGGAGGGGCTGAGGGAGGGGCCCTGTGAGCTCGGCCCGGCCCCCGCCAGCCCCGGGCAGGTCACCGCCCTGCTGCCCAGGAAGGGCATCCTCAAGAAGTCTCGGCAGCGAGAGTCTGGCTACTACTCCTCACCTGAACCCAGCGAGTCCGGGGAGCTGCTGGACGCAGGGGACGTGTTTGTGGGCGGCGACCCTGTGGAGCAGAAGCCCCCCCAGGCCTCAGGGCTGCTCCTCCATCGCAAGGGCATCCTCAAACACAATGGCAAGTTTTCCTGCACAGCATCCCAGCTCACAGCCCCTGCCGCCTTCGGCTCCTTGGATGAACTGGCCTTGCCGCCCTCTCTGGCCCGGCCCAGCCGCCCCTCGGGGGCTGTGAGTGAGGACAGCATCCTGTCCTCCGAGTCCTTTGACCAGCTGGACTTGCCTGAACGGCTCCCGGAGCCCCCGCTGCGGGGCTGTGTGTCTGTGGACGACCTCATGGGGCTTGAGGTGTCCCCCTCAGAGGGCCGTGGAAGCCGCCTGAGGCACTGGCGGCAGGACTCCCTGGCGGACAGCTGCTTTTCCCTGACAGACTGCCAGGAGGTGACTGAGGCCTACCGACAGGCACGAGGGATCTGCTCCCAGCTCAGCTGAGGGTAGGCGAGTGGCCCTACCTGGGCAGGCTCTAAAATACAGCTGGCTGCACCCCAAGGGGAGAGTACCTTCTCCTCGGCTCAAGGACCCAGCCCGAAAGGCTGCGAGGGTTTGCAGTGGAGCCCTGGGGAGGGCTGAATGTGGGAACTGGGTCGGTCAAGTGCCTTGAGGGTTCAATGTCTTCAGCCCTGTCAGACCAAGAAGAATCTAGGAAAGAAGAGTAGAGAAGTAGAGGGAAATGGGGAGGCCCCTGGTGGAGTCCAGGTGGCCTGCCCCTTGTAGGCGGGTGTTGCAGAGATGGGGAAAGAGCTCCCCATCAGTGCCTATCTCCTCTAGGGCAATGAGGAACATTTGTGCATGGTGTCTACCCACTCCCCCACCCCACCCAACCAAGGGCAGCTGCTTTCCTCCTCATCCTCGGCACAGTGGGGTGGAAAGTCCTCACACACACTCTCTCATCTCCACCAGCCATGGAGCTGGACTCTAGTACCCCCTAGCATGCCTGGGGCTTCCCAGCATTCTGGAGTTGTCTCCAGGAGTGAACCCTATTTCTCCTAGGAGTAAGTGAACACAACCTCTCTTTCCTCAAAGGGTCTCCCCCAGTTTCCCATCCTCCCAACCTGGCCCAGGCCTCCTGGGGTTGCTGCTATGAATCCAAAAGACTTGAAAAGGCTCAGGCTGCTGCATGGACTTCATCTCAAGGGACCTAGACTCCTCTGGGCCCCATCTTGGACCTCAAAGACTCCCGCCTCCTGCTGCCAAGCCGCTCCTGATGCTGAGAATGGACGCCTCTGCTTCTCTGGGCTTTCAGCACCCTAGAATGTCCTTACTGATTTTTATGTTCTCAGCTCTGTGTTTTTAAAAAAAGGAATCTGGCTGTTTTCAATAATGTTCTGTTCTGTTCTGGGGAAATGCACTCTGTCATGGTTGGTGAGCAGAGACTCTGTCTATGGGATGGTCCCGTGGCCAGAAAGAACCACGCCAGTAAAGACAGAAGGGTGATTGGAAACAGCCTGGGTGGTTCTGTCTGGGGGTGGGGCCGCAGGTCTTTGAGCCCCCTCCTACCATACACTCCCCTGGGCTGTCGGGAGTGGAAATAGAGAACGGGCTGGATCAAAACAGAACAAAAAACCTCTGAGCTCCCCGTTACGCCTTCCTCAGCAGTTCTGGCCAGGACCCATTAAGCAGACAGGTGGAAAGGACTGGGCCGGGGGTCCCAATTTGCTGTTCTTTGACACTAAAGAAGAAAAGATCTGGGTTTGATAAATTATACTGCCCACCCCCACCCTTCTCACTCTCTTCTCCCCTATCCAGCCCTGCCTCCCGCACTCCAACCTCACCCCCCACTGCTTGAAGACACCCCCACAGCTTTAGTCTCCTTCCAGAGAAATCCCCTTCCCTCCAGTGCTGGGCAGCTTCCCCTGCCCCACCCCCCACCGCCTGACTTCCAGAGAAAGGAAGAATGCTTGGAATGCCCCCACATAGTCCTTCCCCCGCAGCCCCCTGCAGAGCATTCCCCACACGCCTGCCCCATTGAGAAACTCCCAGGCTCCGGGGCTGAGGATGGACAAGGACAAAGTGCAGGCAGGCTGCCGGCCGGCTCCGGCTGCAGGCGGGCTCCCTCTTCTACCCACTACCCGCTTCTGTTGTGCACAGGCCCCCAAATCTCCCCGCCTCTGGCCAGCTCCAGCTCCGCTCCACAGCACACCTGCCCTTCAGAAGCCATTGGGGCATCCAGACCTTCCCTTCCTGCACCTGGGGAGTTGGCAAAGTCACCAAGTCAGGAGAGGGGTGGGGCCGGCGAGGCTAGTCCGGTATCAAGACGCCAGAGTCAAGAAACAAATTGTGCTCTGGCTACACTGGGGTATTTAGGTCTGATGCCTCTGAGGTCCTACTGACTATAACCAACTCAAAACCAATCCCACTGCCATCAAGTCAACTCCGACTCACAGCGACCTCGTGTGTTAGAGTAGAACTGCTCCATAGGGTTTTCTACACTGTAATCTTTACTGGAGCAGATCGCCAGGCCTCTCTTCCACCGAGCCGCTGGGTGGGTTCAAACTGCCAGTGTTTCAGTTAGTAGCCAAGAGGAAATCATTTGCACCACCAAGGCTGGGAAAAATGTAGGGGAGGGTCTTGACCCTCAAGAAGCATAGAGGTTAGCTGTGGAGATAATCTGTGCTCATTCATTCAACTCATGCATCAAGCCCTATCGTGTGCTAAGATCTGGACAGGGAATTGCTATACTCCTGTGCAACAAATAAGATGTTAGCCTCAAGGAGGTTGTAGACTGGAAGGCAAGATTGTTGTTATATACCATGGAGTCGGTTCTGACTCATAGCAAAATTACAGGACAGAGAAGAACTGCCCCATAGGGTTTCCAAGGAGCAGCCGGTGGATTCGAACTGCCGACCTTTTGGTTAGCAGCCCAGCTCTTAACTATTGCATCACCAGAGCTCCAAGGCAAGATAGCATGCATATAAATCAGTAATATTCAATAGAGAAATAGCTAATTGCCAGTTCAGATAATGTTCAAGGGGCATTTGGATGAGGGAAACAGAATTGCAACGTAGGAGGTAATAAGGCCGCCATTGGAATCAACCGATGGCAATGGATTTGGTTTTTTGTTTATCAGGCACTTGTATTATCTCATTTAATGCTCATGACAGCCTTGTTCGTTCAGTACTGTTTCTTCTCATTTTACAGAAGAGAAAAATGAGACTCAAAAACACTAAGTAACTTACCTAGGGAGTAAGGAGAGAAGCCAGGCCCCAAACCCAAGTCTGGAAGATGCCAAATCCTAGCCCAAGGGAAAAGGGCGTATTTGGAGAAGTTGGATGAAGAATAAATGAATGGAACTACAAACATTTATTGACCATTTAAGACATACCAGGCTGTTTTTCAGGCAAGAGGAATACAGTAATTCCTTCAGGTTGAAATGCCTCCCTCTGTTCTCCACCACAAGCCCCAAAAGGGAGACGGGAAGTTGAAGGTAGTGGGAGCTGGGAGAAGTAGTGGGGAGGGGATGGAGAGGGAGGAGAGGTCATACTGGAGGGAGGAAAGGGAAGGAGGGAGAGGTCCCAGACCTGCAGCCTCTCTCCCACCAGAGCTGTCTGGGCAAAAGGGTGGAGGTGGGGGGAGGGGAGGAATTTCAGGACTGGAGGAGCAACACACAGGTGTTGGGTCTGACATCATTGCCTCCATGTGGTCAGTTTGCTTACCCTCTTCTAAGTCTGGAAGGTAGTAGCTGTGGGGAAGCCACCAGCTTGCCCTTCCTTCTGGAAGGGGAGAATTAGGTAGGAAGAGAATATCTAATCTCTCAGCCCCAAAAGAGCTAGACGAGGGGCTCTGGGTCCCATGCTGCATGGCCCTTCTTCTCACCTTCCATACCAAGAACATTCCAGGAAGCAGGCTCAGAGAGATGACGCTGGGCCCTGGGGGAGAAGGCTGGAACTGTAGGAATGTGTGTGCCACATCAGTGCTCCAGGAATGTGAAGAACCTGGCCCATTACCACGGGAACTTTGGGAGACAGGAAATGGCCTTCTGAAACCTCTCACAGGAAAGTTCTGGCCAGAATCCTTTCCCCGTCCTCAGCGCTTTCCTGGGGAAAGTCCAGCCTGCCCCTGAGTGGAAACCCCCTCCCTGGAGTAGTACAGAGGTCCCGGGGGTCCCTGAGCTGAGAAGCTCCTATACCAGGGGAAGATTGATGACAAGAACCTTCCCCCAGATATGACAGAGAGAGAAAGCCTTCCCCTGGAGCTGGTGCCCTGAATTTGGACTTCAAGCCTCCTAGACTGTGAGAGAATAAATTTCTCTTTATTAAAGCCATCTACGTGTATTTCTTTTTTAGCAGCACCAGATAATTAAGACAATAAGTGCCTGATCTTAATAAATAAATGGTAGCCCCTATTATTGTCTCCCAAGTTGCAGGTCCTCTTTCTCTCATTCAAACTCCTCTTGAACATTATCTGAACAGTGAGTAACAATTTCTCTATTGAATTCGTGACTGAGAAGGTGGCATTTGTGCAGAGACCTGAAGGCGGGGAGCGAGTTTACTGTGTAGATACCTAGGGGCACAGCAACCCAGGCAGAGGACACGGCCACTGCAAGACCTTAAGGCAGTCCAGGCAAGTTCCACGAACAGCCAGTGAGAAGTAGATCCTTTAGAATCTCATGAACCATTATAAGGCTGTGCCTTTTTTTCGTAGTGAAGTGGAAAGTCACTGGAAGGTTTTGAGCAAAGAAGTGACATAATCTGATTTATGATTTTTAAAAATCCCTCTAGCTGCTTTTTGAGAATAGACTGTGGAGGGTGCAGGTTGGAAGCAGGAAAACCTAGCAGGAGGCTGATGCAGCCATCCTGGAGATGGCGACTTGGGCTGGAATCTCAACAGTAGAGAAATGAGAAAAGATCAGATTCTAGACGTATTTTGAAGGTGGAGCCAGCAGGCTTTCCCAACAGATTAGACGTGGATGCGGAAGAAAGGAATCAAGGATAACTCCATAAATTTTGGCCTGAGGAACTTGAAGGATGGAGTATCCATCATCTGAGATGGGGCCAGCTTGCAGGTGGAGGAGACATGGGGGAAGCTCAAGAGCACTTAGAACTCCAAGTGGAGATATTGAGAGGAAGGTGGTATAAGGAGTTTGCCATCTGAGAAAGACATTTGGGCTGGAGACAGAGATTTGGGAGTTGTTGCTAGAAGGAAGTTCTGCATGGACGGAAAATCAGATGAGATGACCTCTGAAGTCCCTTCCATCTATAAAGACTATAGGATTTTATTGAATAGGAAAACTGTGTTTCCGAAGTTGATAAATTGCTTGGGAAAGCTTGGCTGGTATGGTTATGGGTGGAGGCAGGTGGTGCTAAACCAAGGAGGGGTGTTTTGCTTTGTTAGAGTTGGCCTTCTCCTCTCCATGAAGATAAAGGGACTTTCTCTTAAGGATGGGAGGAAAATGTTGTGGGAGGGAGCAGGGAACAGTCCTTCATATCTTTTAACCTTCCTGAGACTCAGTTTCCTTATCTGTAAAATGAGATGGTTATACTAAAAGATTTCTCAAGACCCTCCAGCTCTGAGACTCCATGGCTGCACATCTTCAAAGGCTCTCTCCGATTTTAGAAGAACATTAGAAATGTAGTTCTAGGACCAAGGCTCTGCCTCTGACATTTGTCCCTGCTGAGGGTGTGGGAGTTGCCTTATAGGACAAAGTCCCCAGGTTGGGAGAACAAGCGAGTGCTGAAGTCAGGCTTAGGGATCCCCGGTTCTTATAGCTGGGTTTCTCTTCCTCATGCGTTTCAGAACTTCCTGCTTCTGATTCCAGGCGAGGCTTGAGCACAGCCCACTGAGGGCCTGGGAGTCTGCATTTTAATAAGCATTGTCAGTGGCTCTGGTCACAGTAAAGTTTGAGAACTTATACAAAGTAAAGTTCCTTAACCATCTCTAAGGAGCTGCTAAGGAGCCCTGCTGGCCCAACAGTTAAGCTATCAGTTACTAATTGAAAGATTGGCAGTTCGAACCCACCCAGCTGCTCCACGGAAGAAAGACCTGGTGATCTGCTCCCATAAAGATCACAGCCTAGAAAACTCTATGGGGCAGTTCTACTCTGTCGTCTGGGGTCACAGTGAGTCTAAATGGCTCCATGGCACCCACAACAAGGAGCTGCTCCTCCTGGAGGATCCCGCCTCTGGACAGGGAGCTTCCTTCTGGGGCACAAACCTTTCTCTCCTCATCTGCTTCCCTCTGGTCTGTAATCCTTCCCTTCCTGTCTCTTCCGTGCAGGAGTTCCCATCCTATTCAGTTATCTCTTCCCCTCTCTCACCAGCCTCCAAGCCCCTCCCAGAGCTAATCTCACCTTCTCAGTTTTACCCGCTGCCCTCTCCAGGGGCGTTTAGGTCAAACTGGGAGAATGAGTCATTCTAGAGTTGGGGGAGGGGGCTTCAAGCCCATAAATGGGCAAATTCCCTGATTTCAGGCTTAGTTTCTAGGGAAGGGCCAATCCTCACCTCCCATCCCACCCCCACCCCCACCCACCCACCTACCAAAGGAATTCCCCAGAGAACAGGAAGGAGTCTGGAGCTGGCTTTGACTGGATGGAATTCTAAAAATAGCAGAGGTTTTAGGAGGTAAGCGTCAGAACTCAGCTTCCCTGATAAACACATAATGCTGGCCAGGATTTTCCCAGCTGAAGAGGCCAAAGCCCCGATTTCTGATTTCAAAGCGGAAGCGTTCAATTATGCCTTT